GGCTGTATGTTGGTCCCTGTCAGTGGAGGCTGTTGAAAGAATTGTTGCATTTTTTAATCTTTGTGAAATTCATTTTACTTATTTGTAAAGGCCAAGTGTGCTTTTGCTGTGGTTTGGCATCCTTCGTCTGTCTGGCGTCCGGCGTCAATATTTTACTTTAAACAACTTCTTCTTTATAACCAAAAGGCCTAGGGTGATGATATTTGGCCAGAAGCAAACTGATGAAAGGCTATCAATGACCTTCACCTATTTTCAAGGTCATAGGGGTCAAATATGTAAAAAAAAAAAAAAAAGTTCTTCTGAATAACCAAAATGCCCAGGGTGATGATATTTGGCCAGTAGCATGCTGGAATGAAGGGCAACCAAGTTTGTTCAAATGAATGACCTTGATTTATATTCAAGGTCACAGGGGTCAAATATGTTTAAAACCTTTATACAACTTATGAAGAATAACCAAGAAGCCTAGGATAATGATATTTAGTAAGTTATTTGATGGGATGAAGGGCTACCAAGTTTGTTCAAATGAATGAACTTTGAATAGGTTCTTATGAATCAAACACTGATATTCTGCTTGTAGCTTTATTTTAGTCCACTTTTAAGATTACAAGTGTGTGATTAATACCAGGTGAGCAATTCGCCTATTGGGCCTCTTGTTGATAGCTTTATAGTGCAAAATTGTCTAGACAGAATTCAGGGCGAAAACAGAAAAGAACACAGATGGACTTGAAAATTGCTTAGGGTATAGGGAAAGTAAAATCAGTCAAGATCACTTGTTTCGTCGTTTTAGGTCCTCCGTCGTCTGTCATGCGTCGTGCGTAAACTTTTTACGTTTTCAACTTCCCTCGAGAACCAGTGAATGGATTTTTTTCAAACTTGGTCAGAATCATCCTTGGGATTCCTACCCCAACCACTGGGGCCAGAGCAGGGCCCCAAAGGGAAAATTAACCAATATTTCAAAAAATCTTCTACTCCAGACTCAGATGTACTGCAGAGTACAGTCAATTTCTCTGCATGAAAAGAAAGATCATTAGGGGCTTTATTAAAATTGTAAATTTCAAGACCCCAGAGCTATCCGTTCTCCCTTGGGGAGAGTTTTACTATAGTTTATATAGGGAAATAACACTATTGGGTATATTTTGACAATTTTCTGTAGGAAATTATTTTTACTTGGTAAGAATTATCCTTGGAGAAAGATGGTTTCAAATTGTAAAATTGAGATTCCTACCCCAACCCCTGGGGACAGGGCGGGGCCCCAAAGGGAAAATTAACCAATATTTCAAAAACCTTTTTCTCCAGACTCAAAGGTACTACAGTGGATTTCAGTGCATGGATAGAAAGATCATCAGGAGTTTTATTTAAATTGTCATTTTCAGGACCCCAAGCCATCCGTTCCCCCTTAGGGTGGGGGTAACGTTTACTATAGTTTATATAGGGAAATAACACTTTTGAGTATACATTCTTTATTTTAATTTTTATCCATTTTCAGCAGAAAATTACTCAAACTTAGTCAGAATCATCTTTGGTGAATGAGGGTGTTACATTGTAAGATTGGGATTCCTGCCCCATCCCCAGGGGCTAGGGTTGGGCTCCAAAGGGAAAATTTACCAATATTTTAAAATTCTTATTCTTTGATGACGTGACAAGTATTATATTTCACTTAGTTTACATGCTGATTTCCACATCACATCTGAACAATAAAATAAAGCTACCAGTACCTATGATATAACTCAGGTGACCGCTAAGGCCCTTGGGCCCTTGTTTTCTTATATCAATTTCTTCTGTTATAGATAAGTAGCCATACACAGTTCTCCTTTAAACCTTATTATGATTTCCTTTCTGAACATCGTCTCGATCGTGTTATGTCAGCGAAGTTGTAGCGGAAATATTCAGGGGGTTTGATCAGATAGAAAGGCAGTGATGACATATTACATGAATCTGTGTATCTCAACCTAAAATCTCAGAAATGTTTTGGCTGGCATTGTTGCTGTTTCATATGCATTGAGTAAAAGATTACACGAAATTGATCAGCAAGACCTTGAAAATATCCTGATATCTATCTACGTCTATATCAAGTGATTACGTAAATGTAAACATTGGCAGGGTGTCATGGCCATAACACTACTGAGTTCTAAACGTGTATACATGTAGTACCATACTGCAGATGTATGTCTAGCTGTGCAGACAAAGTCTCAAGTGACCTATTGCGATCGCCTTTTGTCCGTCGTCGTCCGTCATGCGTCCGTAAACAATTTACATTTTCGACTTCTTCTCCAAAACCACTGAACCAATTTCAATGAAATTTTGCAGGAACCTTCCATGGACAAAGGTCAACGGTTTAGTCCCAAGCCCCCAGGGGCCTGAGGGGCGGGGCTAAAAAGGGTCAAATTGACTAAAATTTCAAAATCTTCTTCTCAAGACCCAGATATGGTAGAATCAAATACTCTTCATAGATGGAAGGGTCTTAAGGTGCTTAACCAAAATTGAGAATTTCTTGACCCTGGGGTCTCACGTTTTCCCCTGGGGAGGGGGTAAACTTTGCTATAGTTTATATAGGGACATCACATTTTGGACCAACATTTGTTTAATTTCCATTGGAAGTAAATCAATTTAGGTTAGCATTATCAGTATTAGGTAGCAGTTTGATAGTATGCACATATGAGCCCTGACTGACCCCCAGGGGCTGATGGGTGGGGCCAAAAAGGGTTGAATTGACTGAAATTTCAAAAATCTTCTTCTCAAGACCCAGATATGGTAGAATCAAATACTCTTCATAGATGGAAGGGTCTTAAGGTGCTTTACCAAAATTGTGAATTTCTTGACCCTGGGGTCTCACGTTTTCCCCTGGGGAGGGGGTAAACTTTACTATAGTTTATATAGGGAAATCACATTTTGGACCAACATTTGTTTAATTTCCATTGGAAGTAATTCAATTTAGGTTAGCATTATCAGTATTAGGTAGCAGTTTGATAGTATGCACATATCAGCCCTGACTGACCCCCCGGGGGTTGATGGGTGGGGCCAAAAAGGATTGAATTGACTGAAATTTCCAAAATTCTTTTTCTCAAGACCATATGGTAGAATCAAACACTCTTCATAGATGGAAGGGTCTTAGTCTTAAGGTTTATGACCCTAGGGTCTCACGTTTACACCCTGGGGAAGGAAGGGGGGGGGGGGGCGGCAAAATTTATTATGGTTTATAATGGCAAATGATACTTTGAATATTACATGTTAATAACTTGATTGGAATTATAACCTTGAGTTGACAGTTTGATACTTTGAACATTTTGAGCCAGCCCTACCCCCAAGGGCTGTAGGGTGGGGCCCAAAGGAGTCAGTGTGCTAAAATTTCTTCATTTTCCTTGTTTAGAATCAGAGGTGCTAGTTTCAAATACTTTTTAGTCTGAAATCTGTATGCTTGATATTGAATAAGGTGGTTTTATTGTTGTTGTCACCTTGAATAATATTTCTGTACATGTTAAAAACAAAATCAACTCTCTGTATAAATATATCAGGTGACCGTTAAGGCCCATGGGCCTGTTGTATAAACACTTGCTTTAAACAAAGTCATCATTTTGTCCAAAACAACAAAGTTAACATACAAATATAGTGAAAATTTTGCCATATGCTGATTTCTTTGATTCTTTTGGTTTTATTTAAAGAACAAATATATGCATATTATTCCTGTTTTACTGGATGCATCATTGCAGTTTATAAGCATCAAATATGTAAAATGTGAGGGTCCTCAGTCCTACACTGGTCAGTTACGCTGGATGGTCACGACCCCTCATCAGTGATTGAGTGAGGGCTGGTTGTGGCCCCTTTCAGTGGATGATGTGTGGTTTTCCTTGTCATTGAGGTAGAATCCATTGTTAGAGTAAACCCCCGTAACTTATTACTATTAAGCAATATCTGATCATTCAAATTACCCTAGTGTTATCAATTCATGTATTCATGGGTGGTTGGTTGATATAGTAGAGAGCTTACTCGTCTTTAACAAAGACAGCCGCGGTTCGACTCCCCCATCAACCATGAAAAGGTATTGGATCACCTCTCAGACAATATGGGTTAACATGGTTTTCTCCAGGTACTAAGTTTCTCCACATATTATAAGACCCCCTCCCCTGCACACTTGCATGCAAGCCAACTGGAGTGTTTCTTATGAGTTCCAAACACTTATTTCATGGTTGTTGTAAAAGAAATACATTCTTTATTTTATTTCTTCTATTCCTGTCCAAATAACAATTTATAAAGATATTTAACAGATTCCTTGTATAAGTGTGAAACTCTGTTTTGAAGGCGTTGCTTGACTTATATAATATAGTATATATCCTTGAGGATCCCTGTTTTGGGAAAAACTGTAGCACAGGTGGGCAGAGGCACTTCTGTTGACCAGGTAGCTCTATCAGTAAGCGTGATATAACAGGTCGAGGGTTTGAATCCTAGTCTAGACCCGCTAATTATTTGTTACATGCGAACACTGTTGTTTATTATGTCTTGATCATTTCATCTTTATTATTTACATAAAAATCTGGGAAAAATCTGGCAAGATATGGGTTTCTTTTCAGAAATCATTTATCAAAGCTACATTCATACGGGACCTTAAACTAGTTAAACTAAAAACAATGATCCCGGACATTGTGAGAAGCTTTACTGTTTAAGTTTCCGCTAACCCTCCAAGTAATTACACTTCACAGCTGCTGCGGGGGAGGATTTTACGGTACTGACAAGTGTAGACACTTCCACTGTATCTCACAATAATAATTGCCAGTCATTGTAGAGTACAGATTCTTAAAAACATTAATTGAAAGTACAGCAAGTTATGGCCAGTGCATGTAGTACACATTAATTTTTTTTTTGAGGGCTAAATATATAGTGTCAAAATTTATATAGAACTGTGGACAGACTGATCACAAACAGCTGTTAGTGAGGAAAAAGGATGTAGCCATTTATACGTTTATATGCAGTGCAAGTACTTTAGCAAATTTCCTTCTTTTTTGTAGGAAGGAACAACTCCACTTATACTAGCTGCAGCCAATAATCATTTAGACTGTGTAAAAGAGTTATTGAAACAAGGTGGAGATCCTGCCGCTAGGAGACTGGTGAGTTATTTCCCGCTAAATAACCATGAGTGTTGTCACTCTCAAAATAAAGAAAAAGTGGTCAAATCACTTAACAGCATTAAAAATTCAAAATACAAAAATTGATTTAAGAATTAGGATACATAACTAGACATTATATGTATGTGTGAAATTTTGTATCCCCTCCAAAATAATTGTTGGGAAATGGAGGGGGGATGCAGAAGATCTGTCCATCTATCTGTTCACATTTTATTTCTTGCCAGGGTGCTAACTCCAGTATGAATGATTGCATAAAGCTTAAACTTTATATATGAAGAAGAATACGCTTAATGATTTTGGCATGGGTTTTTTCAAGGGTCAAGTCGAAATAGAATTTCCTGAACGGATCTTTACTACAGAACAAATGAGATTGTATTAAGCACAGATTTTGTATGTTAATTGCCCTAGGGGAAAGGAAGAAAGCGCTATTGATTAAAGACATGATCAACCATGGTCAAGGTCGCTGTTACTAAAATTAGAATTTCACAGAATGAATGACCTGTAAGGATGCTAACTTCAAGAAAAAAATTGTCAAACAGAGCTCAACCTTGGTATGTGAATTGCTGAAAGAAAGAAAATAACAGATTTGCCAAATGTCAAGGTCACCGTTACTGTAAATAGAATGTTCTTGTCTTGATGGTACATGTAACTCCACACTGAATGATCACACAAAGCTCAGACTTGGTATGTGAATTGACCTATATGGTCGTCTAGAAGTCAAGGTCACTGTTACTTAATGTAGAATATCACATAACAAGTTACCTGGTTGTATGCTAATATCAAAACAAATGAACACCCAAGGCTCAAACTTGACATATGTGGGTTGTTCTAGGGAAAAGGAAAAACCTTTTTTAGCATGATTTGTCAAAGGTGAAGGTAGCCGTTGGTATCAAAACAATTTTTGTCCACATTTTCACTTCTTACCAAAGAATTTTTTATCCCCTCCTAGCTTCATAAAAATGAATTGTCAAGTTCAAAGGGAGTTGCTAAGAGGAAAAAAATAATCCTATTCATTTTGGGTGTGGTTTGTCAAAGGTCAAGGTCAAGGTCTAGAACCTAACTTTTAGTTATAATTACCTTCTAACTATAAATGTAATAGCAAACATTTCACAAGCGCAGCCCTTACGTATCAACATGTATAGCCAATGTTGGGATATGCTGCCCCTAGCAGCTTTCTCATGGTAAATATGTTGTAGTTTGATGTGTTTTTTCAATTGTTCAACTACTTTAGCTTGAAATCTTTTGACTTTGATTTAAGATAAATATTTTATGTGTATTCTCTAGTAATTGCTATTAAAAGTAGTTAAGCTTTGTGCGTTTATTTCACAAGCCTTGTGTGTTTATTTCAGACGGGAACATGTGCTTTATTTTTTGCTGCCCAGGGTGGATTCTTGGACATAGTTAAAGTGTTATTAGACAGTGGTGCACCGGTCGACATCGCCAGTTATGTAAGTATCCAGCACTAGTGCTTATAGCATTAGACAAAAATGTCTACGCTAAACACTAAACAATCCAGCAATCTTCAGTTAGGTTCCATCAGAGATTTGACTACGCTAAACAATCCAGCAATCTTCAGTTAGGTTCCAACAGAGATTTGTCTACGCTAAACACTAAACAATCCAGCAATCTTCAGTTAGGTTCCAACAGAGATTTGTCTACGCTAAACACTAAACAATCCAGCATTCTTCAGTTAGGTTCCAACAGAGATTTGTCTACGCTAAACACTAAACAATCCAGCATTCTTCAGTTAGGTTCCAACAGAGATTTGTCGACGCTAAACACTAGACAATCCAGCATTCTTCAGTTAGGTTCAAACAGAGATTTGTCTACGCTAAACACTAAACAAGCCAGCATTCTTCAGTTAGGTTCCAACAGAGATTTGTCTACGCTAAACACTAGACAATCCAGCATTCTTCAGTTAGGTTCCATCAGAGATTTGTCTACGCTAAACACTAAACAATCTTCAGTTAGGTTCCAATAGAGATTTGTCTACGCTAAACACTAAACAATCCAGCATTCTTCAGTTAGGTTCCAACAGAGATTTGGCGACGCTAAACACTAGACAATCCAGCATTCTTCAGTTAGGTTCCAACAGAGATTTGTCTACGCTAAACAATCCAGCATTCTTCAGTTAGGTTCCAAGAGAGATTTGTCGACGCTAAACACTAGACAATCCAGCATTCTTCAGTTAGGTTCAAATAGAGATTTGTCTACGCTAAACACTAAACAATCCAGCAATCTTCAGTTAGGTTCCAACAGAGATTTGTCTACGCTAAACACTAGACAATCCAGCAATCTTTAGTTAGGTTCCAACAGAGATTTGACTACGCTAAACAATCCAGCAATCTTCAGTTAGGTTCCAACAGAGATTTGTCGACGCTTAACAATCCAGCATTCTTCTTCGATAAGGTTCCAACAGAGATTTGTCTACGCTAAACACTAGACAATCCAGCATTCTTCAGTTAGGTTCCATCAGAGATTTGTCTACGCTAAACACTAAACAATCCAGCATTCTTCAGTTAGGTTCCAACAGAGATTTGTCTACGCTAAACACTAAACAATCCAGCATTCTTCACTTAGGTTCCAACAGAGATTTGACTACACTAGACAATCCAGCAATCTTCAGTTAGGTTCCAACAGAGATTTGTCTACGCTAAACACTAGACAATCCAGCATTCTTCACTTAGGTTCCAACAGAGATTTGTCTACGCTAAACACTAAACAATCTTCAGTTAGGTTCCAATAGAGATTTGTCTACGCTAAACACTAAACAATCCAGCAATCTTCAGTTAGTTTCCAACAGAGATTTGTCGACGCTAAACACTAAACAATCCAGCAATCTTGAGTTAGGTTCCAATAGAGATTTGTAAAGGTATGTAGGAAAACTGACCCTCAGGGTCCAAATCAGATGTTGATAAGTATTTTAATATTGTATGTTATATAATTGTTTTATCACTCTAAAATATCTTATCTACTGTTATCTACTTGATTAAATTCATAATAACTAGAGAATTTGTCATTTTGTCTTGACAAATTGGAGTAAGTGGTTTCCATTGGTAATAGGTATATTTGTATAAGTTTCCATTGGTAA